AACAGGTTAACTGCATTTTAACTGCTGATTTATATCAGCTAGCTGTCACAAATAACTTCCCTAAACAGTTTCCAAAGTGGGCAAACAGGGAAAGAAAGAGGATAAACGTCTGTTTCTCACTTTCACTAGCTTTTCTCTCTCTTTCTAGCTTTTTCCTCTATTTCGCCTTTTCATTCATTCTCAATCTCGCACTCACATTCTCACTCTTGCTCCCTCCTTCTCTTCTGCTGCCCCTTCCTTTCTTGCTCTCTCTAGCGCTTGCTCTCACACCATTTCTTGCTTTTGCTCCTCCACGTTCCCTTTCCTCTCTTGCTTCCTCTCTCTCGCTCAGTCTCTTGCTCTTGCCCCTCGCTTTCTCTCTCTTGCTTGCTCAGCATCTACGTCTCTCCCACTTATTCTCCCTTCAATTCGCTTGGTCCCTTGTGTGCTTCCTCATGCTTTCTCTCTCTCTCACACTCCTGCTTTTGCTGTCTCTCTTGGTTTGTCTGTCTGTTGTCCCTCTTCCCCCCCTTTCTTTCTCACCATTTCTCCTTCCCTTCCTCTTTTGCTCCTCCCATCCAACTCTCTCCCTCTCCCCTTTGTCACTCTGTTATAGGTTATAATCTGAGAGAGGAATTTTTCTTTCCCTGCTTCCCTGTAAGAGAAACAGAGTTCAAACGGACTGAGTGGGGGGAAGGGGAGTAAATGAGCTTTACAAAAGGCCTGGCCAGCAAAAGCCGAATTCCTGGTTAATGGCCCATCAGAGACTGGGGGGTTGCTGGCCGCCCTCACACAGGACAGTTTAGTTTTGGCTGGGTGCTCTCTCTCGCGCTCTCTCTCTGGAACAGAGAGAGAGTCTGTGTGCAGGCTCTTTTAGAGAAAAAAAGAGCCTGGAAGCCAGGCTAGTTTTTGCACACTGCCTCGTGACTCCAGGCGGACCTGTTGTGTTTTCATCGGAGAGTCTCTGTGCTCGCTGGGAGAAAAGGAGGAGCTTTTTGGGATGCTATCAACTGAGAACCACAGTGAGTCCTGTTGGGGGTGAACTGTTTTTCCTTACCCCTTCCTTCCATTGGGGGTAGGGTCCCCCATCTTCTTTTCGGATCCTCGCGTGACCCGAGAGCAATCCCCAGACCCCTCTCCCCGCGTGGTGACCGCCAGAGCCCAACAGCGCCCCCTGCCGACCACAACAGAGAACTGCAGGCTCTGCACCTTCAGCGATCCAACAGCGTCCCCTGCCGACCACAACAGAGAACTGCAGGCCCTGCACCTTCAGTGACCCATCAGCGCCCCCTGCAGGCAACGACAGAGTACTGCAGGCTCTGCACCTTCAGCGATCCAACAGCACCCCCTGCAGGCCACGATTAGGACTGCGCTAAAGGACAGAGAAGTATTCACCCAGACCTTTTTTTTCCTAGGATTACTGCCTAGGTTTTTGTGTTCTGTTACTGTTTTTGTTTGCTAACATACATATATCTTTTAATAAAGGATTGTTATCTCTTCTGTTTTCCACACTTCCTTGATTAAAGCCCCGTAATTTCTAATTCACAATTGCTGAGAGAGAGGAGTTTGTTTTGTCCATTAACTCATCCTCTTTAGCAAACCTTCCAGTCTCTTCAAACTGAGACACACTCTAACCATTCATCTTTCCCATTCCTCTTTCTCTCTCTCTCTTTCACTGTCTACCTCTCTCCCTCCCCTCCTTCCTTCTTTCTTTTCTTTCTTTCTTTCTCTTTCTTTCTTTTTCTTTCTTTCTCCCTTTCTCTCTTTCTCTCTCTCTCTTTCCTTTCCCTTCTCCTTTGTTTCTCTGTTGCTCTCTTCTGCTCTTTCTCCTTTTTATTCTCTTTCCCCATCTCTTTCTCACCTCCTATTTATTTCTTTCCCCCCATCACCATTTCTCTTTGACTCTGTTGTGGGTTAACCCCGATAGGCAGCTAAGCCCCACATGGTCACTCACTCAGTCCCCCCCCATGGGAGGGGGAAGAGAATTGGAAGGGAAAAAGTGAGAAAATGCATGGGTTGAGATAAAGACAGTTTAATAGGGAAAGCAAAAACTGTATGCATAAGCAAAACAATGTAAGGAATTCATTCACTACTTCCAATCTTACTTTTCCAGGAAAGTAGGGCTTCATCACGTGTGATGGTTACTTGGGAAGACAAATGCCATATCTCCAAACTTCCCCCCTTTCTCCTTCTTTCCCCCAGTTTTTATTGCTGAGCATGATGGTATATGGTATGGAACATCCCTTTGGTCAGTTGGGGTCAGCTGTGTCCCCTCCCAGTCTCTTGCGCACTGACAACCTTCCCACTGGAGGTGGGCAGAGGGAGAAACAGAGAAGGCCTTGATGCCGTGTAAGCACTATTCAGCAATAGCTAAAACATCAATGTGCTATCAACACTATTTTGGTCACAAATCCAAAACACAGCACCGTACGAGCTACTAGGAAGAAAATGAACTCTATCCCAGCCAAAACCAGTACATCACCCTTTCTTGATCTTGCCAACTCCCCAACAACTTTTTTTCACTTTTTTTTTTTTTAAAGCAACAAGACAATAAAAGTCTAATTGAAAAAATACATTTTCCATTGGAATTTTCCATAGCTATTTTATCTACATTACTCTCAGTAAATTTAACTCGCAAACACAATAAATGAAGGCTCTTAGCAAACATAATATCAACAACTGCAACTGTTGTTAAAAGACATTTTATCATATCCACTGTGTTTTAGCAAAGCTTTAGCAATGAAAACATTGAAATCGACTAGCAATACTACAATAAGTGTTGTGGCACAAACTTCTCTATGTAGGTCCTTCGGATTAAAAGGCAAAGCATTCCTGACAATCTGTGACAGAGTGAAATCCTACCAGCACTCAACATATCAAAGACCAGGAAGCTCCATTCCATTAAATATTTAGGTCCTTCAAACACAAAACCAGAGAAGCAAAACAAGACAGATGGACAGAACAAACCAACCAACCAAACAGAACAACCTTACCTTTCACAAGCTCGGACAGTCCATGCAGCAATTATCCATAATGAGATACTAAAAACCAACAGTACAGTTCCTGGACATATTGTCATTAATGTCTTCATAACAAAACGGGTATTGAAGTTTATCTTATTTAACGCTCCAATGCTTCTAGATGATGCATCAGTGAAAAGTTTGCTATGCAAAAGCATAACTCTGGCAATAAGATACAGCCTTAAGAACATTGGTATAGATAAAATAATATCCACATCAGCTGTTGTTGTGGATGGAGTGTAAGAAAAGGCAAGACGGGCTGTCCATGTGAATGTATAGTCCCCAGGTATGGGATGTATAGCACATACAAGTATTTCCAAGCAGATAAAGAAAATACGCTCATAAGTCATGGCTATTCTCCAGTCATCTGCTCCATTGTCCACCATGAATAACTGAAAAGATAAAATACAAGGTTAACTTTAGTATGCCATTAACAAACCTTGTTATGATTACATTTTAAAATACCATTGTTTTCAGAGCTTCTAATGACCACTAAAACCAAAATAAATTTGCCATTTCAGCAAATGACATTACTAAGTCACTACTAAGTGAATGTCATTTTGGGTAAGCCAAAAAAAATGGTTTTGTGCGCTGTTTTAAAAACTTTATATGAAACTGAATTTCCACATATTATTATTTACTAAGATTTTTTCATATTTTTGTTTAATTGTAATTTTTGATAAAACAAAACTTTGTGCCAATTTAAACCTCATCCCTTCAAAATCAATTTCTTAATCAAAGTTCATAGAATTAAGAAGAACTTTTAAAAAGGTTTTTCAGGATGGAAATCTAAATTACAAATTGAAAATACTTTCTGCAGTACAACATTAGGACTTCTTTAGAGCACATCGGTGCTTCAGACTGGAGAGGTTATAGCTTCAGTAGAATTATTCAAGTTTTCTTCAAACTTCGGGTACCAGTAATAGACCAATGCAGGCTGCAAAACCATCCAAGAAACTACATAAAGACTCTAAAAGATAACTCATCAGTTCAAAATCAGTTCAACTGTACCTCAACTACTAGCAATACCCAAACTAGCTGTTTTAAAGCTAGGTTGACCATGTCTAAATGAACTGTAATCACACCTTCAAAAAAACAAAAAATGAAAAGCAGAGGCCTGCAAACACCAGAGTAGCCTAAGTGAGGTCTATTAGTAGCTGCAAATCAAATGCACATGAATGTATGTAGGTCCTTGCAGAACCAAAGCCTTCAGTTTACCACCCAGGAACAAAAGTAATAAACCACTTCACACTGTTTAGTAAATGTTGTTCCTGAAGATTTACTAACTAAATACTTAATTGAACAATATTTGTCACTAGTAGAGAGTAGGGTTATGCAAGGCAACTTTTAAAAAAAGCAACAGGAGAAGACCTTCACATCACCTCTAGTCTGAATCTAGAAAAGGCTGTTCAGTAAATATGTAATTGGAAATAAAAACCTTTTGCAGGATTTTATTCAAAAGCTTAGAAGTAATTTAAGGGGCGAGAAGGTGAAATGCACAAAGAATGTCCTTCTGAATGTAAGAAAGTATTTCCAGCATGCCACACATCATATACAGGGCCAAACAAGCAATTCCTCTTCTGCATTGCTTTTTGCCTCTTTCCATCTTTCTATCCTTCAAGAGTTTAGAAATGCAAGCCTGAGCTCTCTGTATATGTCCTTCAGAGATCCCAAACCACATCTACATCTTCCCCCAACACATTCAGTTTGTCTTCCAGAAGATTGCTCCAGTTCTTTGTTTAAGAAAGTGATAACAAGTTAACTTTATTGTAGTTGGAGTGACGCTAAAAGAAAGAAAGAATTCAACCACAGTAAGAAACAAACAAGACACAAAAAAACCCAACTCAAATTCTTTTCTTTTTAGACCTGTGTTTTGCTCCTTCATGTTCCTTCTCTTTATCTTCGGTATAGTTCTTACCTCCATTGCAATACTATTAAAACCAAAGAAACATAGTGTTGAATTAATTAAGCTAAAGAAATACACTCGGTGAATTCAATGTATGCAACATGAGCACATACACTTTCTTTTGCCTGTGGTCTTTCTGAAGACTTTGTATGCTAGATATAAAAATGAAATTCATACAGGCAGGAAGGTAAATCGACCTATTTATTTATTTATTTATTACCAAAAGACAGTTGGTTTGCACTTAGCAAATGTACTAATTGATATAAAAGGCCAAACTTTCAAAATACAGTGAGATTCAAGTGCATTTGATTCTTGTGATTAGCCTGCAAATGCTGTCAGTCAGATCACACAAATGGTAAAACAGCTATAAAGAGGTCCAGGTATTTAGAGCATCCAGAATACAGATTAATATAAACCAGTAACAGAAGATAGAAAGCACCAGAAGCCACAGAGGAACACAGATCCAGTACAAAAATTCCTATTTGAAAAAATAGTAACATTTCAAAAACATATTTATGACGTAAATTTCCATACAAATCTGTGTCTCTAAATTCAGTCCATGAAACACAGGAATATCAAACATTCTGGAACAAAATAGGCTGTGGATAACAAGTCAATTGGGATGTACTGAAAATAGTTAGAAATTAGCACAGGATTTCATGTACATTTTATATGCTTGCAATTATGCAACCTACTAAATGCAATTGTTAACATTTAATTTGGAAAATGCAGTGGTATTTGCATGTTCCTACTTGTTTGGTTGTGTACATTTACTATTTGGAAAGCAAGGAGGGAAAATGAATAGAGGAAAGAAAGAACAGCTGAACAGCACAATTTAAAGGGGGGGTGCATGAATTTTTAAATATTTTTTAATATACATATATATATGCATACACCCTCTCAGCTGCTTTTAGTCAGTTCTGTTATAATAACCATGCATTCATTTTAAGATACTATTCCCCATTTGAATGGGGAATGATGCTAGTAATAAAAAGAGAACAAGTTCTTCCTATAAAATTGAGTCCTGCAGCCTATGCAGAAGGCCATACTCCAGTCAAGGTCAAAGATGTTATGCCTGCTCATAGCTTTCAAATTTCTTATTAATTATTAGTCTAACATTGAAAAATAATTTAAGTTCTTCATCAGTGTTCTGTAAAGCTTCTTCAAATACAGAACTGCCATCTACCTTTACTAAGCCTGCACTCTATAAGACAAATTAAAAAAAGTTGTTTTCATCTGAAATTATATAATGCATTTCCAACATGTGGCATGCAAAAATAAGACATGAATATTAAACTATAAATAAACTTGATGTTTCTAACACCACACAGTATAAATATAAAAATAGATAGCACATCATAGATATTAACGTGTTTGTGCATTTACAAAACAACTCGTGTTAAATTCATATAACACCAGATTAGAAAAAGAGAAACAAATTCAGAGTAGACAGATTGCACGTAATGACAACTTAGACCAGAGACTCCCTGAAGCTATTTAAAAGTAGATAAATTAATTTTGCAAATCATTAATATATCAAAACAAATTCCTAGCAGGCTATCTGAGGATGTTGGTGAACGCAAAGTACAAGGAAATTGGCCAGTTTCTTTACAATCCCAGTAGAAGAACAATCGTGAAAACAATATCACTGCTCTGCTGTAAGGAATAAAAAGGAAGCAATAAACAATGATAAAGCTGTACTCCTTGAAGCATTCCTTGCAGAAGGAGAATCAGCTGTACTCACAAAGGCATTGTGGCAATTGTTTAATTTAAACATCCAAATTTTAAATGGTTAAATACTGGAGTTGCTTTACCCTTATAAAAAAACTGATGAAACTGTGACACAGACTAGCAAAATAGAGCCTCTGTGGCTGCTGTTCTACCAATTTTTTTATCAAACGTTTTTCTATAGCTTCTAGTCCTCAGAATATCACTTATGCAACTAAAACCAGCATTATACTCCCCAGAGACGAAGAAGGTATTAAGTACAAATGATTGAAAATCATATGGTGGTTGGAGATAGACATCTCAAGCCTTTCCCTAACTAGGGGATGAAAAACACCTTCTTCCATCATCAGAAGGCATATAATTACATGGTCTGTAAACTATCCCAAGGCCTGTCCTTGATCTTGGAGAACCTGTAGGAATTCCCAAGAACTCTACATCCTGAATACAGTGCCACAGAGCAGAGAAGTTAGTAAGTTTAAGTCTTATATAAAGCCATGAGGCATCAAATACCTTCTGCATGCAAAGCACAGAAGGCAAAGAATAGTGTTTTTCACAAAGCTACATGAAAACCATGTTATCTTATGTTTCCCAGAATGCTTCCCACATCCAGAGTCAAGACCAAATTTTCTAGTAGGCCATTAGAAATTGATCCACAAGATCTTGTGGATATAGCTATCTACACAAATGAAACATTCTTACTTTTTTCAAATGAAGTTAGACTATTCTATCATTCGTACATGTACATGCACATACACAAACCCCCCTAATTATAAAAATGCCAATTTAAAAGAATGATTGTAAAAGTCTGGTACTTAGTTTCATCATAAAAATTGATTTTTGGCATAGTACATTTATTTCAATTTGGTATCTCTATGCAAAATGAGTTTTTAATGGTTATCGATATCTTGCTATGCACACTGTGTATGTCAGTGCATGCAAAAAAAATTTCATGTTAATCTGTGCTGGTGGCTAAGTAGGCTCAAAATGCTTCCCTCAAAGATAGCATTAAATCTGACCATCTTGGGAAGAGATGTGTAACTGAGGCTCAGATTACTTATGGCCTTTGTGTACCATATTTTCCTATGTGCAGCATAAAAAAACTGCACATTACAATGCACCTGAATAATATACATCAGTTACTATGACAGGGCACATGCAGAGAGGAGCATAGTCACAACCATTTCAATAAACATATATGTGTTACTCAACACGCTTATCAGGTTTGTCCATGCCTTTCTTAACCTCTATCCCTCAGAAAACACTAGCCCAAACACTCTATAAGATAACAAAGGGCACGATCACATTAACATAAGCTTAAATTCTGCCTCCCCATATTTTCCTTCTGTTCTAAATCAGATACTCACAGTATTCTTTTTTGATTTCTCTCTCCAAAGATATTCTGAGGCATTGTTCAATATTTTTAAATGCTACAGGTCAGACTTTCAGCTCTATTATTTGTCTCAAACAACTGTGAAATGGCTTAATCCCTGACAGCCTGTGCTGCCAAGGAACCACTACAACTCTCAGCAATTGCTGGGACATATGGAATTTCTTTTCATGTAGTTCTCCCTGTATGTACATGCTTCAGGGACCCAAAGAGGGTGAGATGCTCCTAAAACTGCTGTTCTTTCTTCCCAATAACCTTCTATGCAGGTAATAGTGTCAAGAAGTGAAATCCAAAGACTCCAAGTAGAAAAAAAAAAAAAAAGTATGGTCCTAGATATCCAGATTTCTTCTCCGGTGCTATAAAGTAAAAGA